GGACAGTCACCTTCGACTGCCACCTCCCTGCTCTCCCCCTCCCTGCCACTGCCACCCGGCACCTGCATTTGAGATGGCAAACAGTTCCTGAAGGGCACAGCAGAGCAGAAGGCCTGGTGGGGGTTTCACAGCACTGCTGTCAGCACACAGCAGTGTCTCTGGAGTGATAAAGGCAGAGGGGTTTTTTTTGGGAAGAGATCTGCTGACTCCCCCCGACACTGCCCAGCTAGAGCAGACCTCTGCCCTAACAGGATCGCCCCGGGGAGGGACAGGAGAGCTAGTGTGCAGAGGGACAAAGCTGCTGTCCTGCTTTGCGGTGTGCTGTTGCACCATACTTTGCTTTGGCTTTGCTATGCCCCAGCAATTCTCCTTCCCACTTGCTCTAGAGACAAGCCTTTCTCTTGCCCCAGTTTTGCAGAAGGCTGTTTCCCCACTGCCTCAGGCTCAGCCATGACAGCCTCTCAGCACTTGTGCAAGGCTGGGAGGATGCTGGGCTCCAAGCTGGAAGCTGTCTCTGCAGAGGTGATCAGTTAACGTCACTGCTGTATTGATTCGGCACCGACTGCGGCATGGGAGAGCAGACTACGCGAGTGCCTTCCCAGACTGAAAAGGAGATAAACTATAAACGCCAAAACTCCTCTGGCTTCACTGCAGAGTGCTCAGAGAAAGTAGGATTTTTACTGAGCTGTATTTGTGCATAAACCCCCTGCGAGAGCAGCAGATCCATGCCTGGATCCCCACCCCGGGTGCTGAAGAGCAACGCTGGCAGCTCCCCTGGCCTTTATCAGTTTAATGATTTGCTAAAACACAATCTTCGCTGCAGAACAAGGCCTTGCTCCTCTGCTCTGAGACGCCTCATTTTCATCCACATCCTCCAGTACGACCAGCGAGGGCAAGGCACTGTAGCTCGCCCTGCAGCAATGCAGAGGCAGATTCCACTGCTGCACCAATGACTGCGTCTTGCCAGGTGCTCTCTCACCAAAGGATCACCAGAAGGTTGGCCAACCTGCAATAAAAACTACACAGCAACCCTGCATGGTGGGGCAGAAGACAAAGCTTCAGCCCAGAGAAGGCTGATTTTAAGAAGTTGCGATGATGAGACACGCGTGACAGGCTCATACGCCCTGTACCAACCATGCAGTCATCCCGCGGGTGCCCTGGACCCTTGCAACGCAGATGGTTTGCCTGGCCACCACACTGTGACTCCCCCCAGGGAAACGTCTCCAGCCTGGCTGAGCTCTCACCACACAAGCCCATGGCCAAGCCAAGGACAGGCAAGGCTGCTTAAAATATAGACATGCACCAAAGCAGCTCAGCACCAGAGTGTTGCAACTGAGCTAGCAAAGCTCAGCGTGAGACTGCACCGAACAGAAGGCGATTTATTCAATAAAAATAAATTTAAAATAAAGCGGGTTTCACTCCCTCCTGGATTCACTCATTTTCTGGTGCCCCAAACTCACATTGCATCACAAGATGTACAGCCAGCAGCGCTTGTGTGTGACATGTCCTACAGGTCCCCCTCATCTCCTGGGTTCTTTGTTACTGGTGGCCACAGAGGGGTTTGGGATGCACCTTCTGTGCTCACCAGGAGCTGCCAGCAACACTGATCTTCCACCCCATTGACCTGTCCTGCCTCAGGGCCATTAGGCAGCACAGCTGATTTACAATTACGGAAAGATTTAAATTGCATGGGACCTTCAGAGGTCCTCTCACCTCCTGTCCTGGAGCAAGCTGCCCAATGGTTTTCCACCTAAGCCTTCTTAGAAGCTGCATGTATCCATGCTGGCATCTCGATGACCTTTTGGGTTAGGTGCCATCAACCCATGCCAGTCTTGTATCCCTTCTGCCATTCCCTCTGCTGCTTCCATTTGTATACTTCCATTCAATTTATCTAACTCTTTCTTACCTCTCCCTACAGGAGACACACAGGACGCTGCCTGCTCATGAGCAGCGGTCCCCAGACTCACCGCTTCTGCAGGACAAAGTGAGAGCACAAAGAAGTGCTTGTGCCATTTCGCAAGGCATAAACATTTCAACAACATCTCTGTAGCAAGGACCAAGAAAATGAACACTGCAGAGCACAGAGAACAGTCCAGAGAACCACGAACCACGCGTGGGAAGTTGGAGATAAGGGGACCTGCGGGCTGAGCAGGCACCTGGGGTCACCCACGTGTGATCCCCCCTGCAGCGAGACCCCCACGACAGCCTGACACACAGTGGTTTGCAGGAGAGAAGTGACTCTCTCAGCCTATACATGAGCCAGTAGCTTTAGAGTCCAGGTAGCTGTAGAGGGGGCAGTGCTAAAGTCAGATCCCATGGCAGGGTGCAGCAGCACCCAGGAGCCGGCCACGGCTTAGGCACACAACTATCAGTGGATGGCCTGATCCTGCCATCAGGACCTGATCACTCTTGTACAGCAGGGACAGGTTCACCCATCCTCAACACGGGTCTGCTGGAGCATCACCCTGGTGCCCCCAAAAGCAGCAGTACCCCAGCGCAAGTGGAAGGGAGAAGCCGGGTCACACCCCACACTTGAGAAGGCCCCCATGGACGCACTTCCCCACCGCGCCCATGGCCTGGGTGACACAACAAAGCCAACACCGAGCAGACACAACACCTCTCTAGAAGGCCCTGGAGGGAGCTGCTCCATCGAGGGTGATACACAGATGACGGGGGAAGCTCTTGTCAAACAGTTCATGCAATCAAGCCTCTGACTTTCCTTCTGGCAGATGGAGAATCTGAAGCCGTAAAACATCATGTTCTTTCACAATCACTTCCCCATGAGAATTAACCCACATTTTCAGCCCATTACTGAGTAGTATGGCCAAGTTATACCACCTCTAAATGAAACACTTGTTTGCTTTGTACACTTTTTCTGGAGAAGACAAATCTCCTCTGTCCAGTGCCATTTCATCAAGCTAAACTAGTTCAGCTTTCAGAGCTCAGGCCATAGCTGACAACGGATGGACTCAATAAAAAAATGCCATGGTCACACAACACAAGATGCCAACCCAGCACAAATTCACTCTTTTGGATCCACTTTCCTCTAAAACCTGGAGTTAATGACGTGTTTGTGGGTGCAGTGTCAGGTGCCACCTACCCTCCTGCACGTGGTGCAAGCAGATTATGGCAGCTCTGGCCAGCACGAAGTCTTGCACACATGCTGGGGCCAAGGTGCCACCGCATGCCTATGCCTGATCCAGGTAAATTTGCACTGCTGGCTGATCCAACAGAGGCCACTAGAGCCACGGCCTTGGTCTCTCCTGCCTCCATCCCGACATGCTCTGCAATCCTGGGATGTCCGAGACAATTGCATAGCTCTGACCTCAGAAAATCAGTAAAAGCATGTCCTATTTTCACAAAGTACACATTATTTAGGAATTCAAGCCCTAGTTTCAAAAGCAGCTGGAGACCATGGGTAACCTTGTCTTATGAGACCTCAGGTCATCAGCAGTCAAATGCTTCTGACTTAACCTGAGACCTGTAAAATTCCGCAGCCTGTATGAGGGGTGTACGAAGCTCAGTCATCTCCCCTGTCCCCAGCTCCCCCTCAATGTGCTTTCCCTCGGCACCCCCCCAGCGCTTTGCACTGCCTTCCTGGGTCATGCCTGCCTGCTGCTTCCCCAAGGACATTTTCTTTTGGCACTTTCTGCCAAGTCGTTGGCCTTGCCACAACCCCATTGACTGTGCTCTCTCTGTTCATGTTCTCTAAGTCTTCCCCCTAGCACCCACCACGGACATCAGAGAGATGTTTGTGACCTGTCCTCACTTTCCAGCTGCCTCAGGCCAGGACCCGAGCAGTGCCCAGCAGGCACGTTCTGCAGCAATCAGACCTTCCCACTGCAATCAGTTGCTCCTGACAGAGAAAAGCCTCTCTACAAGACATTCCAAAACTTCTTTCATCAAATATTTCTAAGCTATTTCTTGACTTCAGGGGGGTGGGAGGGGAGTTACTCAGAATTGTAGGAAAATTCAGGCTGGAAGGGACTTCAGAAGGTGATGCAGCCCAACCTTAGGCTCAAAGCAAGGTCAGTGACTTCCAGTTTCTAGCGCGTGCTGTTGGACCCACGGACAAGCCCCATGTCCCTCAACCGCCATCTCTTGTAGAGCCAACACGCTCCACCCCGCCTTGGCTGCAGACAGAAGCATGAGCAGCACGACCTTTCATCACAACTGAGCATAACGCAGCCTCGGGACCACCCGGGTGGAGGAAAGAGAGGTGCACCCCATCTCTACGTCTACCCCTGGATAACCCTGCTAAGAAGCCCATCTTCAGGAAAAGGTGCTATTTATTGGTGGTTTCATGGGAACAAGAGGAAGAATTGTGTCAGCCCTTCAGAAGTCTAATGTTTCCTGGACTGTGAAGCCACATCGATGCCCGGTGGAGGGGCAACCACAACCCCAACAGGGAAGAACATTTCCAGCAGGCTGCAGGCCCGCACAGTGCTCTCTGAAAGACCACCCATCTTCTTTGATTAAGTGAAATTTTAGGTGAGTTACCCAGCTGCATCAGTAAGCCTTGGTCTCATTTACGAGCTGCTCAAGCATCCTTCCAGGCACTACAGAAACACACAGAGACTTCAGGTTTCTGAACACATTGCAGGCAAATGTTCTCCCCCCAAACCTGGCACTTCAGGAAGGCATTTTTGCTCCAGTCAAAAATCACCTTTAGTGAGATGCTTAACACGGATGTGCAGAAACCCACCCGCCTGTTCATCCACGCAGACACTCAGACTTGCACACAAGGACGAAGCCGATGCACGCTGCCCTCCCCTCCACAGCTCCCTCTGCGCATACTTATGTCACGGGTCTTTCAGGCTGGCTTTTTTGCTGATCTATTCGGAAATGTGCTGCATTACTTTGCCCAGTATTTGCACACCAGAACCTGATTGCTCTAAACCCAAGCACAGCCCTCCTCTCCCATCACCTCCTGGGATCCCTCAACTGCCTCCAGCCACTTCCCGTCCTCCCCTTCCCAGCGCCACAGAGCAGAGACTCACCTGAGTTTTCCTTATCCGCAGGTCAGCAGATGACCTGTTCAGTCCTTCCTCTTGTTCAATACTCTGCTCAATACCTGGTCAGGGTAGAAGGACACAGATTATTTTGTGCTGTTTAGAGAAGGAAAAGGGATTGTTTGGCAAAGGGACTGTAAAAGATTGAAGCCTGTGAATCGAGGACCATCTGGCACTGAGCAGCCCCCAGCTCCTGACTCTAGCCCGCGATTTAGCCTGGACTGGCAGCAAAGCCCCCTTTCATTACTGCAAAGCACTCAGTGCCTGGCCACTGGCTGAGACTTGGTGCTGTCAAGGGCAGCATCTGTCACCCCCAGGCTGGTGAGGATTTCAATACAAAACTGACGTAATGCTCAGGTCTGATCTCCGCACTTTCCAGTATTCAAACAAAATGGAGTGCTGTTCTCCCCCTGCTACGCAGGACAAGGAAACCCAGAGCTAAAATGTCTCTGCAAAATACCAAAGCTCAAGACTTCTCCAGGGACCCTAAAAACAGTAGGTCTGCCAGCTGCCCGGCCTTGCACAGGGAGGACCCACCAGGCTGGCAAGAGCGCGCTTCATCTTGCTGAACAGTCCTCTGCAGCAAAGCAGAGATTTTCCCTTTTAATTATGCCCGGTAGTGCAGCTAAGTGAGACGAATTCCTCACTTGTCCAAAGACCATAAATAACAGCAGGGAGGCACACTGCCCTGCTCAGCATCCCACCGTGGTTTGGGCAGGGAGAGAGCACGGGGTTGCAGGGCAGGAGGTCTGGCACAGAGCAAGGCAGTGCAAATCTGCTCCTCAAGGCCAGCTTGGGACATGCTAATTCAAAAACTTAAATTCAGGGACTTAAAAAGCCTGTAAGAAAGCTCCCGTCAGCAGGCTGGCCCAGTGTGCAGAGATACATGTCCCCACATAGACCACCAGGTGTGAGCTGGTGGCATCCCCTGACTTTGGCTGAAGACCCCATTCCCAATGCAGATGTCCCACAGCTCTCTGAGCCTGGCTGTCCCCAGCACCTTCCACGCTGGAGCAGGTCCCATGAGCCCAGGCATGGGGCAGGTTCTTCCTGCAGCAGGGGCTCCCCATTCCCTGGAGCTGCCCAGCAGCTCCCCATCACCATCCAGCACAGCAGGGCAGAGTGCAGGACACCACCACCACAGTGGGCATCTGTGTTTCTGCTGCGTGCTGGTTAGCGTGGGTGGCCCCACAGTACCACCTTGCAGAGAGCAGCAGCGCTGTAAGGAAGACTGTGGGCCTGGGGAACCCTTCGTGGTGCTGGCAGAGGGCATCCAACAGCACAGCATGCTCGGGGGAAGTGCTGAAGAACATCAGCACAAATTCTGCACTCCCTCCTAGTCTATCCTGGAACAGGCATCTGTATCTAGAGCTTATCTGAAAAGTCCCGTCCCACACAGCCGGACGGCCACGGCACTTCTCCTGTGCACCCCCCGCCTGCGAGTGCACTGGCTGCTGCCTGCCCAGCATATTTCATCAGCAATTGGTCTTCCTCCACACTTGTCATAAACGGTTCCCTGTTCCCAAGGAACAGTATTGGCAAACATTGTGCATTTATGACAATTAATAAAATCACATTTTCCCAAGAAGCTGGTAATTAGAATTAGCCACTGCATGAGCAATGTCTGTCCTAAAGAAGCCAATTTGTTGTCAGCAGATGGTGTTTTTGATCAGTTCTGACTGTTTTCTTTCATTGATCATGCCGGCCACGAGGCGATTTGGGACAAAGCACAAGGACTAATCATCCGTTGCTCCAGGTAAATATGATACCAGTGAGTCTTTTCTGGAAGAAGGAAACAGGAATCGGAGCCTGTCCTGCAATCCTTCAGGCTCTCAAAGTCCCTTAAGAAACACAAAACAAAACACCTATGGAAAAGGATTTTTGTTTTGCACAGGCTAAACCCTGTCCCCACCTGGACACCAGGGATCCCAGTATAGCTGTGGGGGGCTCTGGTCCATGGGAAGGGATCCCCTGGTCTATGAAATGGGTAAGTTGGCCCCTAGCTCTCCTTCCTGGGTCGAGCTGAGATCACATGTCAGGAGGACAGAGGGCAGCAAGGGGACAATGGAGGTACAAGTCTCCTTCTGGCATACACATGGGACATGGCCACGCCAGTGGTGATGAACCTAACCAACGGCTCCAGCCATAGGTAAGTCCTTCACAACTGCGGGGCTCCCACAAAACCCTGGCATTAGGGAGAACACTGCTGCCTTGGGGGAAGCACCAGCTCCTCTCCCACCCTTCAGACACGGCTGGGTCTCCTGCAACAATCTCAACTAAATCCCACGCTGATGTCCAAGACCACTGCAGGCAAATCCGAGCCGTGCTGGGGTGATCTGCCTCCTGCCTCAAGATGCTGCCGTCCTCACTGACCCCCTGAACCTTCTGGGGTCCAATCTTGGGCTTTTGGGCTCGTCCGAGTGCTCCAGCACAACCCCGGCCATCGGTGGGGCTGACAGTCGTGTTGTTCTCACTCCCCACTTGTCAAAGAGACTGATTGACTCTTCTGATGGTGGAAACTAACAGTCATGTTGGCCGTGCTCTGTCCCTGCACTGCCCAAGGGAGACGCACACAAAGACAACAGGGCATGCTGATGAGACAGGATAACCTTCCCTGAGCCCAAGAG